ATGCGTTCGTATGAGCCCAACGGCTCAGATTGAATCTGGGCCGATCTGACGGTCAAAACCTCATTTCGTTTTGAATTTTATTTTTTTTCTACAAATCCAAATAATTTTAAATTTTAGGCATGTATTCTTCAAAAATAGGAGAATCTAATAAAAATATCAAAAAATAATTTTATAAAAATAAATTGACCAAAATACCCCTGAAATGTTTCGGGTGTATCTTAATCAATTTAATTTTTGCGAATTATTTTTAAAATATTTTTATTAAGTGCACCTTGATGAGAAGAATACACGCCTAAAATTTCAAGTTATTTGGATTTGTAGAAAACAACTTGAAATTTAAATACGAAATAAGGTCGTGAGCGTCCCAAATTTAATCTGGGCCGCTGGGCTCATATGTTCATATGAGCTAGTGGGCTAATCTCTGCATTTTCCATATATATATATATGTGTGTGTGTGTGTGTGTGTGTGTGTGTGTGTGTGTGTGTGTGGTGCGGTTTGCATAAGGTTGCAACCTTAAACAACCCAATTAAGGTGCACCTCCAAATTTTATCATAAGAAGTAGTTTTGGTGTAAAAAATTCTTAGAATTGCCTGAAACCAATGATTTAAAAAACGGATTGGTGCCCCGGGTTGGGCACTTCAAAAACCCAGCCGGATCGGTGAATTGGCGATTCGGATGGGGAATCGGCCAACTCGGTCAGATTAAGCACTAAAAAAATCCAAAAAAATTATTAAAATTAATTATAAATGTTGTTTTTTAGGAATCCAATAATAATGATAGTACTCCATTGTTAACTTTCACTTTTTACATCAATTTGTGAATATTGATATGTTTTTTCTCTGTATAAACTTATGTTAACCATTAAATTTACATCACACATAAGAAAAATCATATAATTATCATGGATAAAATATATAATTATATATGGACTATTATAAAGAGTAGATTTAATCGATAAAAAAGGGCCATCAAAATCTCAAATTGGCGGAAAGCCCTAATCCCCTAAAAATACCCAAATTATTACAAACTAACTAACTACAATCCAAATTTATTACAACCTAACTAACTATAATGTTATATGCTGAAATTAAAATTGTTGGTTTAAATTTTATAATTATTTTATTATACAAATAATAACAAATCTAAAATAGTTTGTAATACGATCTAATTTAAAATGTATTATTGAGAACTGTAAGAAAGATAATAAATTACATGATTTATAATGCAAAAATTAATAAATAAAATAAAAATATGGTTAGAAATTATTAGAATGCATACCAATTTTCGAAAGAACACTTTAATTTTTCAAAATTTTAATTTTTTAGATTTCTGGAATAAATTTAGTAAAAGAGATTGTTAATAGAAAGAGAGATTTCAAATGGAATAAATTTCTTTAAAAAAAATTTTTTTTTTAGATTGCTAGAATAAATTTAGTAAAAAAGATTGTTATTAGAAAGAGAGATTTCAAAAAAATAATTTTTTTTAAAAAAAAATTAATTTTTGCTTATTTTTATAGTCAACAAAAATAAAATAAAATGTGTCCAGGCGGAATCGAACTTGAGACGTGAAGGGTTAACGTGGAAGTGATAACCACTCCGAATTATCCCACATCCAACAGTAGTTTTAGTTTCGCTTCTATAAATTGCTTTGTAAGTTCCTTAAGGTTTGCGCACGTGTGCCCGAGGTTGCCATCCAGGCGCGCCCAGTGGGTGACGATAGTCTTCCACGTGTGAACTATGGTACTTTGCCACGTGTTAACTCGGGCGAGTCCGTTGTGACTTGTCAATTTTTAAATCACTGCCTGAAACTCTATTTCCAACTCTAATTATAAAATTTTAAACTCCCAAATAGTTCAAATGAAGTAGATCTATAAACATATGGAAATCTTGAAAATGGACGGTTTAGACAATGCGTTGCAAGTGCACTATTTCTAGGACTCAAAATCTTTTTATTTTTCATATTCATACATGTTGACGTTGAGATGATCAATTAGAGGTTTTTTCAACATTAAAACAATATTTTTCCAATGGATTTTTGAGGTGCAACCTTATATAAACTCTATTTCCAACCTTATTTTTCCAATGTGTGTGTGTGTGGATTTTCGAGGTGCAACCTTATATAAACTCTATTTCCAACCTTATTTTTCCAGTGTGTGTGTGTGTGTGTGTGCGTGCGTGCGTGCGTGCGTGCATGTGTGTGTGTGTTTGTTTTGAAATTTTTTGCACTT